TATTTGCGACCCTAATGCCCAACTTTCTCATCTGCCTCAGTTTCTTAAGCTCTTCAAGTACTTCAGTGTTTGCATATACATACCGCAGCTGTTGCAACTCTGTTAAAGCCGCAAAACCTTCTTGTATTTTTGCTATTTCTCCGTAAGGACCTTTCTTGTCCAAGCGTCGTACAATTAGACAACGCAATTTTTTCAAATTCTTGATCTCAATTGGGAGCTCACTCACAAAAGTCCACTTCAAATCAAGAGTCTCTAAGTTGACAAGCATGCCTATGGACTTGGGAAGTTCCTTAACTTTTGTATTTCTCAAACTTAAGTAGTGCAAATGGAAGAGCTTTCCCACTCCATCAGGAAGACAATCCAAAGGGGCATTTTCTAAATCAAGTATCTTTAAAAGCTTGAAATTAGCAACAAATGCAGACATGAAAGACTCAGAAAATTTGTCAACATTGAAAAGACAAATGGATCGGATCTTTGAATTTTTAATGCTTTCTAAAACATCATTAGTGCATTTTTGTATTGAAATACGCCGAGGATTACTAAAGTGACTCAAGTCTTTTTCATCAAAGAAATGACAAAAATAACATTCCTTCATCTTTCTACGAATGGTCTCGTACATCAAATCATGAACTCTACAACTTTTAGCTCGTCCATAAGCTTTTCTCTCTGAAACTTGAACCAAGCTTCTATCAATAAGTTCTTTCAAGTATTCTTCGGCAACAACCTCAGATGTCAGGTGGTTGTTGCATTGGACAAAGCCTTCAGCTATCCAGAGGCGAATTAATCTCCCAAATCTAATTTCGTAGCCTTCTGGAAACACACCAAAGTATAAGAGACATGACTTTAGATGGTGAGGGAGATCATAATAACCTTCGGACAAAACTTTGTTGCAATCTTTAAGATGCAAATCATTGCTTAATTTTGAGCCCAAAGCATCAAGTATATTTCTCCATTCAGAAGCAATCTTGTTTTTTCTGGAGAGAAGCCCACCTATCGCAACAATTGCTAGGGGTAGACCTCCACATTTTCCAATGATATGCTCAGATAATTCTGTCAAGTTTGGAGGACAAGAGTCATCAGAGCCAAATGCCTTTCTACAAAAAAGTTTCCATCCTACTGTTGAAGACAAGGGTTCAAGCTTGTGAATATGAACTATTGAGAATGGCACGAATTCAGCAACTGCATTATTCCGTGTCGTTAGCATTACTCTACTGTTTTTTTTGTTATCAAGTAAAGCATGCTCTACATCTCTCCAAAATTCAATTTTCCACACGTCGTCGAACACAATTATGTAACACTTGTCCTTTAAATGCTCTCTCAATATCATGATCAAATTCTTCTCTTCCATTTTGTCTGCCTCCATTAGAGTGGACCCTGTTGAACGATAAAGTTCTTGTACAATTGTCCGTATTAAATCTTTCTTCAAGTATTCTTTACCAACTGTGATCCAAGCTTGGCAATCAAAATGCTTCTTCACCACATCGTTGTCATAAACTTTCCCGGCAAGAGTGGTTTTTCCTAGTCCTCCTTCGCCCACCACTGCAATCACTGAGCAAATATTGGATGCTCCTTCGACCAATAAGGAAATCAATTTTCCTTGAGTAGATTCAATACCCACAACTTCAGCATCTTCAATGAAAAAAGAATCAACTCTAGAGTCATGAGGGATAACATTTCTCCCTCCATTGCCTGACCCTTGATCAATGTACCTGAAGTTGTAGCTTGCTACTCTTCGTTGTATTTCGGCAAGTGATAATTTGATATCTTTAATCTCAGAGGCGATTCCATGTCGAAGCTTTAGAATCTTTATGAAGTAGCATGCTTTATGAATGTAAGCAACGAAACCTCTACCATGAGGAAGTCTCGCCGTCTTCATTGTGTACTCATCGATGGCATCTTCAATCCGGAAAGCTTGTTCCCTCAATTGTTTCACCCAAGTTTTGACACCTTCATTGCCCTCTGTTTCTGCTTCTTGTGTAGCTTTTGCATCAGCATCCTTGAGTAAAGATCTGATGCTCTCCAATTCACGTTTGATGTCTTCAACTCCTTGTTTGGCATTTCCCAACAACTTGATTTCTTGGACGAGCAAGGGACTCAAGATTTGTAGTACAGAGTTCACTGCCACCTCTGCCATATCTCACCTTTTTCTTGATACTCACTGCATTGATATCAAAAGTTCCTAAAATTTCTGCTTCGCTTGCTTTTTTGTTTTTTGTTTTTTTCTGTTTTAATTCACAACATATCTATTAATGGGGAAAGCACAATATGATTTATTATATTTATTTAAATTTTTTCTATAATATATGATTGTTTTTTTTTTTTTTTTTTCATATCATCAAGGTTGGCTCGCTTAATACAATTCTAACAAACATATATCCCTATGTCCTAAACTAAAAACGGATTTAAAAATCTAATTCAACCTAAATTATTTCAAGCTAATCTATTTCTACAATACTTATAATAATGCATTCACTAACGACAATGATTTTGTTATGAAATTCATATTTCTTGTAGTGATAAATAAGCATAAATTATAACTACTAAAAAGCAAACTTTAATTGATTACCTGTTATTGGATGATATTTGAATGTGATATAAGAAATACACCTGGATCTTCTTTGTTTACAGAAGCCTTTCATTCCAAAAAAAAAAAAAAAAAAAAAAATGGAAAGTTAAACTTAATTACATTATGAGAATAAAGAAAGATAACTAAAAAATAAAATTGCAGAAACAGCTAACTGGCACCTTCAAAATTTTTTGAGCCACCAAACAAAATTCAAGCTATCAATTGTAGTTGAGACAAGAAGCCAAGCTGTATAAAATCAAGCAGGTCGGGACATACTAGCTTTCAAAGATGGGAATTGGTTGAACTTGGAAGGGAAAGATTTTTTTCTTTATTCATCTTTTGGCGATTTGAAGTAAAGTATCTATGCCTTGTTTAATTGCCAACCAAACACTATCTTAATTTTCAGTTCTTGTTTTGTGCCTTGCCTGATGCTCACTCTTTCATTCCAATTACTTTGGAGAACATTGTGTGGGTTTTATATACCAATTTAAAGCTCTCTATGCGGATAGAGTAAAATGGAAGTGCTGTAGAAACCCAAGAGAAAGAAAAGAATTCTATTATCTCTTGATTCTTGAATAACATAATGGATACAACTATAACGTTAGAAACAAGACACTGTCAGTTCATATTACAAGTGAATTCAAATGTTAACTCTATGTATTAATACTAGATCCATCATACTACAAATTACCTGGACGATATAACAACTAACACATTGACAAATTTGCTAGCAAATATTACATTCTAATAGCAAGCAGTACTTCACCACTTTGACATGAACCAGCCGTTACATTTTTATTTTTTTTTAATGAATTCAGAAGATGACTCATCAGTTTATTCTCACGACTGTAGATACTTTATCTGTTCATAGTAGTCATTTCGAGAATACAGTGCTATTAATTAAATTTTAAGAAATGAAACGTTTATATTAGTTATAGGATAAATAAGAAAAGGAAAGCTTTACAACAGCCAGTAGATAAATTTCAGTTTTATCAAGGCAGTATCATAAATTTGTATTACACAAGGAAGTTGATGAACACCTGCAAGCAATGCTACAGCTGGAATAGCATTACCTGAAAAACAACATATTGACACAACGAAAACCAAATCAAATTTATATTACACATTGGCTCCAATGATCCTAGCTTCTGCTAATTAGATTGTCCAAGAATTCTCTGCAATGTGTTCAAATGGGTGGCGTTTAGAGTATGGAACAAAGCCCTCAGCCATCCATTTGCAAATTAGTGTCAAATAACTAGTAAAGTGGCTTGCTGGAAACAAAACAAAATACGAGAAACATGACTTGAGATGGTAAGGTTGATCATAATAACTTTCAAAAGAAACTTTGTTGTTTACTTCTGACTTTGAGTCCACACTATTCATGAAATTTTTCTTTCCTAGGCAACCTTGTTCTTGTTTGAGAGAAGACCACCTACCGCAATAATGGCTACCAGTAATCCTCCACATTTTGAAAGGATGTAATGGGACAACTTATAAGTTGTATATTGGTCGTATTATGCTCAATTATATTGTCAACTATACAATCATTTGTCAAAAGAAGGGATACTATTTAAACACCTCGAGGTTTACCAAAATCACATGTACCCCCAGTAATATGGGTATTGAATATGAACCCCTGCCGTCAGACTTTTCATTAATTTTTACTGTATGAAGGTAAATGACTTTAATAACCTCACCATTCATGCCCAGCAACCCCAGCCCCAACCCTCAACGGCAATCACCAGCTCATTTACTCTCTTACTCTTAATTCTGTTAAAATTAATGAGAAGTCACTAATGGCAGGGGGTTCAGAACAAGTACCCATATGACAGGGGGTTTAAAGGACTGTTACTATCCAAAGAATTATGTTCTTGTGGGCTGGAGCAAGCTATACTTAGGCTGTTTATATTGGGCTCATGTGTTACTTTGTGTATTGAATTTTGGGCTTTGAACAAGGCTTTCTTCCTCCACTATAAGCTAACATTCTGGAATTATGTTTTTTATAAATATTTTCTTTAAATTTAATTGATAAGCCCTTGATAACTTCATTTATGGTCTCAGTAAGTAAAATTTTCTCTTTATATAAGCTATTTAACACTAACCATATTCGTAACTCCAGCAATAAGCACTTCAGGACTTTTGCAGGAGCATATGTACATAATTAAGCAACTTCTACAATTTCAAAAGCCAAAAAGCAAATTCAAACTAACATCTGTAATCTGCCCAACTTTAGATCCACCTGCATTTCCTTTTGCAACTCTCAAAAACAACACATTGCAGGATGACGGGGAGTTAGTTTTCGAAGAAAAAAGTATAGTGAAAGAAATCAGGTGATTATATAAATAAATTTGTAACCACCTACTTACTCTCCACCTTCTTTCTCATTACTTAACTCACAAGTTGTTTTCTCCAAAGCTTCTCCAAAGCACTTCAGTCTCAAAATGAATTCCCTTCCACCTCCACTTCCTCCACCCCTTTCACCGCCATCATCACTTACGCCGCCTCCACCTCCTCCACCCCTTTCACCACCAACACAACTTACACCACCACCCGCAAAGCAGGCCACTCAAGCTCCTCTTAAACAAATTGTCATCTCAAAGCCATCTATAACAAAACAACATAGTCCAACATTAGCTGCACAAAATCCTGACATCATAAGATCAACCAAGGCACCAATACTCCATCACCCTCGCCGCCGCCGCACCAACCTATTTATATGGTTTGGTGCAGCTTTTTGCCTCATATTTAGTCTTCTTCTCATCTTCTTTGGAATCACAACTCTGATCATCTTCTTGGTCGTTAAACCAAGAAGCCCTGTGTTTGACACTCCCAGTGCTACTCTCAGCACCATCTACTTTGACTCGCCAGAGTATTTCAATGGTGACTTAACCTTCCTGGCAAATTTTTCCAACCCAAATCGGAAAATTGGTGTGAGATTTCAGTACCTGGAAATAGAGCTTTACTTCTTCAACAAGCTGATCTCGACTCAGGTTATGCAGCCTTTCAGTCAGCAACCTGGGGAACAAAGGTTAGCATCAGTTCACATGATATCAAGCTTGGTCTATATACCACAAAATTTTGGTGTGGAACTTCAGAAGCACGTGCAAAGCAACCAGATTAAGTATAACATAAGAGCAAGTTTTAAGGTGAAAGCAAGATTTGGTGCTTTTCATTATTCTTACTGGTTGCATAGCAGATGCCAGATAGAGATGACAGGTCCACCAACTGGCGTTCTAGTTGCTCACAATTGCAGAACAAAGAGATGAAAATGCAGAAACATGTGTTGACACTGTTGTATTTCACCATTTTATGTCAGATATTAGATCTAAGAGGCGACTAAAGCAATTCTGATGTAAAGGACATTCTGATAAGCTCTGTACGTACAAAAGAATTATTTTCAGTTCTAACAAACTAATCCCTGGGAGTGTTTTTCATATTCAACAAGCGCAAACTCAGAATATAGACTATAGATACAGTAATTATCTTTATCACTCTTGAGAATTTTCAATAGTAAGTTGTCAGCTTTAAAAAACAGCAGAACCGTGTTAGAATCCAATTTTTAATGGGCCCAAAAAGATATCAATTCTCTCAATTTCGAAGTCTTCATTGCCTCAGCAGTATATATTTGAAATCTTTGAGCAGCTAAAGCAGCTATCTATAATTGCAGAAAGATACAGTAAGAGAATCTGGGGGGATCAAAAGTGGGAAGCTCTTTATCTTTTTATGCCTGGATAAATGAATTTATTTATTCAGAAAAACCAAATAAAGCAGGAGCCTAACCCCTTACAAAAGCTAAAAGAACAAAACAATGACTGCCAGTAAGAAAACTCAGTACATGAACAGACAAATACTTAACCACAAAGATACCTGAGTAGTATTAAAGACAAATGATTTCATGACCCCAACAAAAAGGCCATGATTATATGCTTGATGCCTGTTGAAGTTGACTGGAAGATATGATCCGCATCATTTAAAGTGTTAGTGGTTCAACATCATGTTTCTTTCTAGCCATACATTTGATACATATGTGCACTCAAAGCAAGCTTCAAAATGACTACACAGAAAGTTTAGCAGTTTAAGACTTCTCCAATCACCCGGTCTCCTTTCTTCTGATTCCACATTTCTGCAGAATTTTAGTCCAACACAGTTGTTTGTAATAGAGCAAATGAAAAAGTAAGAAATAAAAAGATTCCTTGACTCCAACCAACATTTGTATGATGACACTGGCCAACCATATCAGTTTAAATTGTGAGTAAGTAGCAAACGAAAACAAGCACTGGATCTCATAGCTGAACCTTCACATTACCAAGAATATATAGTTAATCCAATCTGCTTTTAGTGCATTATCAAGAAATTTTTTGAAGTTATATATTTAGATCCTGCATCAGATGAAACTTGGAGACTTGGAGACTTGGACAGAACAAGAGTGGCAAAAGAAACTAATGACCAATATCTGGAGAAAATGGAATAACACAAGTTTCCAACAATAAAAGGTTAACATAACTAGATCTTCCCCCAATAATCATGTGTATGTATGCACTTCATAGAAGTGTTTTTGATCATATTACATGTAGAAGTTGAAGAACTCAGCAAGATGCAGAAGAAATGACTGTTGATATTGTTCACCGACTTGACCAGAATTTAAATCTCTCTTGCGAAGGATGCCTTTATCACATTGCAGTAAACAGTTTAGAACATAAATGCCCCATAGTAATGAGCTAAAGTATTGAAGTATAATTTTGAGCAAAGAACATGTATATGCAGCTTCATGGATCATAGCCTGCTAGCATTTAAAGGAGAACCAAAGAAAACTAAGCAACAAATCATGAGAAAAGAAAAACCTGCCGGTAGCTCCAACCCATCATTGGAAAATGTGCAGTATCAAGCACAAAATACAGATTGCCCTAGACATAGAAATCATATAACACCCTGGTAGGAGCTGTTTCCATCTTGGCTCCTTCCGCAGCTCCCTTCTACATGCTACCTTCCCCCAAAAAGTTTACTGCAGTCCGCAAGTTATCAAATGTCAAACCTCCTCCACCATAACCATGGTAACCTATAAACCTCTCTTTCCAACCACCTTAAGCTTACCACAATCATTTATTACCTACTTCTAGTCTCAGAGAACCAAAGAAATTATTTAAAAACATCCTATTATATACAATAAGAAGCAGCCCCAAACCCTCACAGTCTGAATCAACAGCACAGAAAAACTACACTAAAGTCTGTAGTTTAAAGCATTATAAGTGCACATACCAAGCAAAATAAGCTCAACTTAACTATCCAATACATACCTGATTGAGCACATCACAGGTCAATAAAAAAAAATTGGCCAAGTCTTAGCAAAAACAACCACATAGGTGGAGTCTATTCATTTCATATAACTCATCAATACATAAACCTTTTATTTTTAATAACCCATTGTTTCAAATGAATCAAAGCAAAACATAGAAATGAACCTATAATCTTTACTTTTACAACCAATTCATCTCCCCTCAACTTCAGATGGAAGTTTTGCCACTATCGACAACGCGTGCAGCCCACTCTGCAACTCATCTTGCAACAAACCATATATTAATCTATGCCTCTTCACCAAGCTCTTCCCTTCAAATTCCTCAGACACAACCTTCACATTAAAATGTGTCTCTCCATCACTCCCTTTCACACCAGCATGCCCAGCATGCTGATATGAAATATCTTCCACTTCTAACTCAACAGGCCTCAGCTCCTTCTCCAATTTCTCCCTAATTCTCATTCCTCTACTCCCCAACTCCTCCAATTTCTCATTCATTTCAACACTTGACTCCAAAGTCCCCTCCAAATTTGAAATTTTACCATTATCATCAATCAAAATTGAATCTTTACCACTACTCTCAATTTTCGCCCCTGAATTGGAACCCTGAACCGACCCTTTGGCCTTCTCAGCCTCTAAAAACAGTTCGAGCGCCTTCTTTTGCATCAACTTCAACATATTCAAGAACCCATTATTCCTAGAAGGAGTTAAACTCTGTTGCAAACCAAGAAGCACAACAAAATCCGGAGAAACCTTAACAATTTCCTCTACAGGTCGATGAGACAAGCCTTGAACGAGCAAAGCCGCCAACCCTTTGGTCAAAACAGAGTCAGAATCAGCTTCAAACACAACATTCTTCTGCTCGTCAAAGTAAGCTCTAACCCAGACCTGAGACACACAACCTTCCACTTTATTTTCCCTCGTTTTGAACTGGGTATCAAGCGGTTTGAGATTCTTTCCGTAAAACAAGAGTTGCTCGTACTTTGCTTTGGGTTCCTGCACGGACTGGAAGAGCTTGATGATGTCTTGGAGCTTTGGAGGGAGCTGTTCGAGGGGCTGAAGAGAGGAGGTGGCAGAAGAGCGGCAGACGAGCGAGGGAGAAAGTGATATGTTTGTAAAAGTGAGGGGTTTGTAAAAGAAAGAGAGGTTTTTCCGGGGTTTTGGTGTGAGAATCGATTTGGTAGTGAATAAACGTAGGGAGGAAGAGATTGAAGAAGAAGCCATGGCCTCTGCTCTCTTCTGATTTGAGGAGTCTAGAAACAGAGAGATTAAGGGAGAAAATAACGAGGAAAAGTTAATGGGCTTTCGTAACCAAATGGGCCCTGCTCAGGAAGTACGATTCAGCCCAGACAATGGGCGAAATTACATATTCCCCCCCAATCTTTCACCAAGAACATTCCATGCATTTGTTTGAGAAACTATATCACTTTAGAACTGTCTCTTACTTTTTTCAATTCTCCTTGCACTCATCCAGGGCCGCTAATATTGACCATTATGATGTATGTGGTAAATTGTTAAGTATTTTTAGTATATTTATCATATTATAATTTAAGTTGATACATTTTGCAGGAAGCACCAATGGCCCGAAATTTTTGGGATCGACCATTTTGTAAATCTCATTTTTCTAATGGGACTCTTATCTGTTTTACTTGTCAAAAAATTGTAAATTTGCAGAAAAAAGATTATCCAAAATATATTAATCTTGGAGATGGTTGGCAGATTTGTGGGAATTCTCTTTCTAGTTGTGTTCTGGATAGGAAGGGTTGTAAAGCTGTTGTTGGTAGATGTTTGAACTGCCCGTCTGTTCAAAACATGCATCACATGTATAACATTATTCATAAGCATCATAAATAGTTACTGTTAAAATCCTAATTCTATTCCTAGTTCATCTGTCCAGGCCTAGTTGATTATAGAGGAGAAAAATCCTAATTGGTTTGTGTTTTTCCTAGCTTTTAACATAAGGTCAATTTCACACCGTTTTGTCTTATGGTGAAATCCATGCCGTTTTGACTTTTTAGTTATACTATACTATTTATCATTTCATCAAGTAGATTTGAAGCCATTCTAAAAATTTTCAAGTATCCATAGAACCAAAAACTACTAGCTTTTGTTAGCTTTTATTCTTGTGTTTTCTGGGAAAATCATGGCTCTAGCAGAGCTCTTTCTTTCTGCGTTTCTTCAAGTGTTGTTCGACCGATTGGCCTCCCGTGAGTTGCTGCAGTTTGCAAGTCAAGAGGGTGTGCGTTCTAAGCTAAAAAGGTGGGAGAAGACGTTGAAGATGATTGAGGCAGTGCTCGTGGATGCGGAGGAGAAGCAACTGACTGACAGAGCTGTGAAAATGTGGCTGGATGATCTCCGAGACTTGGCGTATGATGTTGAGGACATTCTGGATGAGTTTGCAACCGAAGCTTCAAGCCGCAAATTGATGGCAGAACGTGATCAATCCAGCACTAGCAAGGTTCGGAGCCTCGTCCCAGCTTGTTTCTCTTGTGTTAACCCGAGCGCTGTAAAGTTTGATCTTAGTATGAGATCCAAGATAAAAGATATTAGTAGCTGCTTGGAAGAAATTTGCAAGCAAAGGATAGAACTTGGATTGGAGAAGATTGCTGGAGGAAGATCAAGGTCTGCTGTTAGGCAGAGAACTCCTAGTACATGTTTGGTGAATGAACCTGTTATGTATGGGAGAGATGAAGATAAAAAGAATGTACTTGAAATGTTGTTGAGGATGGAGCCAACTGATGCCAACTTTCATGTTATATCCATTGTCGGGATGGGAGGCGTTGGCAAAACGACGCTGGCGCAGGAGGTGTATAATGACAGGGCAGTAGAAGATTTTGACCCAAAAGCATGGGTTTGTGTCTCTGACGACTTCGATGTTTTAAGAATCTCTAAAGCGATCCTTGAGTCAGTCACTCTTTCTCCTTGTGATCTAAAGGATTTAAATCAGGTGCAGATTCAACTGTACAGTATACTGGTTGGAAGAAAATTCTTGCTTGTTTTAGATGATGTTTGGAGCAAGAGTTATGAATTGTGGCAAGCTTTGAAGTCTCCTTTTATGGCTGGAGCACCAGGAAGTAAGATAATTGTGACCACTCGTAATGTAGAAGTCGCGTTAACAATGGGACCATTAGAATATTATAACTTGAAGCTTCTATCAGATGATGATTGTTGGACCTTGTTCAAAAGACATGCTTTTGAGAGTAGAGATACTGAGATGTATGGAAGTTTAGAATTAATACGCGAGAAAGTGGTTGAGAAATGCAAAGGTTTGCCCCTGGCAGCAAGGGCTCTTGGTGGTCTTCTACGTTCTAAGCAAAGATTGGATGAGTGGGAGGATATATTGAACAACAAAATATGGAACTTAGCAGATGAAAGTGAGATTCCTGCAGTTTTGAAGTTAAGCTACAATCATCTTCCTTCACATCTAAAAAGATGTTTCGCTTATTGTGCGATCTTCCCAAAAGATTATGAATTTGAAGAGAAAGAGCTCATACCTTTGTGGATGGCAGAAGGTCTCATTCAACAATTTGATAACAATAAACAATCAGAAGATCTGGGAGGTGAGTACTTTTGGGACCTCTTATCAAGGTCAATTTTTCAACAATCAAGTAGTAATAGTTCTAAATACATAATGCACGATCTTGTCAATGATCTGGCTCAATGGGCTTCCGGAGAATCATGTTTTAGGTTGGAGAATGAAACAAAGTCCAATATACAATTGCAAAGATATGAAAAGGCTCGTTACTCTTCTTACACTTGTGCTTTTCTAGGTGATAGCAAAGATAAATTTGAAGTTTTCAAGAAAGTTACAAATTTGAGGACATTCCTTCCAATATCACTACATAGTCGTCCTCGTTTCATATCCCATACAGTTCTTTTTGACCTATTGCCAAAGTTCAAAAAATTAAGGGTGTTGTCTTTAATGCATTATTACATCCCTGAATTACCTGATTCTATTGGGAGTTTGAAGCTTTTAAGATATCTCAACCTTTGCAATACTTATATCAGAAGTTTGCCTGAGTCGATTTGTTCACTGCTTAATTTGCAAATGCTGATTTTAAGAGATTGTTTCTATCTTAAGAAGTTGCCTTCTAATATGGGGAATTTGATCAATCTACATCATCTTGATATTAGAGGTGCAAACTTATTGGCAGAGATGCCAATTGGAATTACACGATTGAAATATCTCCGGACACTAACTGATTTTATTGTGGGCAAAGGTGTTGGGAGTAGTTTGAAGGACTTGAAGAACTTAACGTTTCTTCGTGGAGAACTCTGCATCTCCAGAATAGAGAATGCAACTGATTTACAGAATTCAAAAGAAGCCATTTTAGTTGATAAAAAAGATCTTAAGGTGTTGACACTAGAATGGGGGTCTCAATTGGATGACTTGCGAAACAAGGCAATGGAAGAAAATTTACTTGACATACTACAGCCTAACAGAAATCTAAAGGAGCTCACAATCAAACGCTATTGTGGCATAAAGTTTCCATCTTGGATAGGAGATCCATCATTCTCCAACATGGTTCTCTTAAGATTGGATAATTGTGAGAAATGCACATCCTTGCCTTCGATTGGACTTTTAAATTCACTCAAATACCTCACAATTCGAGGGATGAGGGGATTAAAAAGTATAAGTTCTGAGATTTATGGGAATCGTTGCTCAAAGCCTTTCACAGCATTGGAGACTCTTCGACTTGAGAATTTGCAAGAATGGGAGCATTGGAATGTGATCAAAGAAAATGAACGTGTTGAAGTGTTCTCAGGCCTTCGCGAGCTTTTCATTTTTAACTGTCCTAAGCTTTCTGGCAGAATACCAGAGCATCTTCCATCCTTGACAAAACTTGTGATTCGTGAATGTGCACAGTTGATGGTTTCATTTTCTAGTTTTCCAATGCTCTGTGACCTGGAAATTGCTGGATGCAAAGGCATGTTTTGGGGTGGTTTAGCTGACTCCAAATCTCTGAAGTCTATGGCTTTTTCAAATATTTCAGAGACTGGAAATTGGTTAACACAAAGTTTCCGAAAAGTAGAACATTTAAATATTTATTCTGAAGAGCTTGTACATTTTTGGATGAATCAGATTTGTCTGGAGAATTCTCTAGCTGCAGGGCTGCATAGCTTCACCCCCCTCCGAGTGTTGTGTATTCAGAATTGGTCGAGTCTTGTTTATTTCCCAGATGCTTGTTTTCTTCCTATTCTCACGAAACTTGAGATTAGAAATTGCAATGGCCTGACATCCTTTGTAAGGGGCCAGCTACCTTCGTCTTTGAAAGAACTTCATATTGGAAGTTGCGAGAAATTGGAGCTGTTGTTGGATGATAAAGAGGATATTTCTGCTTCTTCTTCCTCTTCTACTTCATTGATGTACAAGGAGAAGATCAACAACACTAGCACATCTCTTCTTGAGAGTTTGTCCATCGGCAACTGCCCATCTCTTACTTGTTTATCATCAAAAGGCCAGTTACCTGCAGTGAAAGTCCTGGAGATCAGTACCTGTCCGAAGCTCAGAACCTTATCGCTGAATGGTCAGTTACCTGAGTCACTTGAAGTACTCCGGATCAGGAATTGTTCACAGTTGGAGTCAATAGCGGAGAGCTTTCACAATAACACATCTCTCCGAGATATTGCAATCCGCAGTTGCTATATTAAATTTATACCCGACGGCCTACACTATCTAAGTCGCCTTCAGCAGATTTCTATAGGGTATTGTCCGAATATTCTTTCATTCCCAAATGGAGGCTTTCCCAGCACCAGTCTAACTGTTGCACTCCGCAGATGCGATCAACTGTTAGCTCTGCCTGATAATATGCACTGGCTCAGCTCTCTTGGAATTCGCAACTGCCAGAGTCTCATACTTTCTCCGGAGAAAGGTTTTTCCGCCAACCTCACATCACTTACAATTGAAGGTGTTAATATCTATAAGCCATTAGTTCAGTGGGGGTTGCACAAGCTCATATCTCTTAGAGAACTCCGCATAGTTAAATGCTCAGAAGTAATGTCTTTTCCAGAAGAAGTGATGGGAATGATGTTGCCTGCCTCTCTAACTTCGCTAAAAATTTAGAACTTCTCAGACTTGCAACAGCTATCTCCTAACGGTTTTCAGAACCTCACTTCTCTTGAAATTTTGTGGCTTTAGAGCTGCCCCAAGCTCAAATGGTTTCCGGAGGTGGGCTTGCCATCCTCACTTTTGCAATTGTATATTATAAATTGTCATCAGCTAAAAAAACGGTGCAAAAGAGATAAAGGAGAAGAGTGGTCCAAGATAGCTCACATTCCTGAAGTGAAGATAGATCACAAGTACATCTACAATCCAGAATAGAAAGCTACGAGAGTAAAATTCAGAGATTTACTACATTTCGACCTTGTACTGTTCATCTCAGGTTTGTCAATTTCTGTAGCTACTGAACCATATAATTTTTTTCTACATTATCTAGTCTTTGTTATTTAGTTCTCTGTCTTAAGTTCATAAGGTGACCATTAGAGATGGCAATAGGCCCGGTATTTTTGGGTATTTGGCCCGACCCCAAAAGGCCTAGCTTTATCCTATGTTAGCGGGCTTGGGCTTTGGCCTGGGACTAATTTTAAGACCTACCCTTGGGTACGGGCTGGGCATGGGTATGTCTTCAGTCCCGACCTGATCGGACAATTTTACTATTAATTTTACTAAATTATCCTTATACTATATATCTAATTACATAATTATCCTATATATATAATTGAAATTTATTAATATTTGGTGAGTNAGTGGGGGTTGCACAAGCTCATATCTCTTAGAGAACTCCGCATAGTTAAATGCTCAGAAGTAATGTCTTTTCCAGAAGAAGTGATGGGAATGATGTTGCCTGCCTCTCTAACTTCGCTAAAAATTCAGAACTTCTCAGACTTGCAACAGCTATCTCCGAACGGTTTTCAGAACCTCACTTCGCTTGAAATTTTGTGGCTTCAGAGCTGCCCCAAGCTCAAATGGTTTCCGGAGGTGGGCTTGCCATCCTCACTTTTGCAATTGTATATTATAAATTGTCATCAGCTAAAAAAACGGTGCAAAAGAGATAAAGGAGAAGAGTGGTCCAAGATAGCTCACATTCCTGAAGTGAAGATAGATCACAAGTACATCTACAATCCAGAATAGAAAGCTACGAGAGTAAAATTCAGAGATTTACTACATTTCGACCTTGTACTGTTCATCTCAGGTTTGTCAATTTCTGTAGCTACTGAACCATATAATTTTTTTCTACATTATCTAGTCTTTGTTATTTAGTTCTCTGTCTTAAGTTCATAAGGTGACCATTAGAGATGGCAATAGGCCCGGTATTTTTGGGTATTTGGCCCGACCCCAAAAGGCCTAGCTTTATCCTATGTTAGCGGGCTTGGGCTTTGGCCTGGGACTAATTTTAAGACCTACCCTTGGGTACGGGCTGGGCATGGGTATGTCTTCAGTCCCGACCTGATCGGACAATTTTACTATTAATTTTACTAAATTATCCTTATACTATATATCTAATTACATAATTATCCTATATATATAATTGAAATTTATTAATATTTGGTGAGTATTTAAAAATAAATTAATATATAAAAACTGTTTCTAGAATTAAAAATATAAAAAAATTGAAATTTATTAATATTTAAAAATTCACATTATAAAAATGGCGAGTTTGGGCCGAGACTGAGATTACAAAAAACCTGTCGAATTGGATTTGGGCTTTACCTGTCATCCTCGTGACCGACTCAAGCTGGAACTGGGCTTTTGTCATGGGGACAGGCTTGAGCCCAAGCCAAGGGGTACCCAATCCTGGCCCGGCCTACCCCCATTGCCTTCTCAAGTGACCAACTTGTTACATGTTTAACTTACAGTGGCCTCGTCGGGTAATTTTCACTTATCAAGGATGAATTATTGATTCCTTAACAAGATGCTCACAGCAGAAGGTGCAGAATATTTTTTCTCCTGGGCTATTTTTAATGTCATGTTTCCGGGAAGATTAGAAGTTATTTTGGTGAAAAGAGCCTTCATATATAGTGTTCAATAAGAATAATAATCTCACCAACTTGATGATGTGTTACAAAACCTTCTAACAAGGAGACCCAACTAGAAAACTTAGACTATACAGTGGGCTTAAGCCCAAATATAATCATATAATTAACATACACAACAGCTTAATCATTATGGGTAATACTATACGTACTAACGGATTTTACTAACCAATGTACTAACTTAAAGTATAATACGGGTACTATACATATAGTATGGATACTATGTGTGATTTTAACAAAGGTTAGTACACTAGTTAGTAAAATCCGTTAGTACGCAAAGTATTATTCAATCATTATTTAACTTACAAGTTAAAACAAGATTAAAATAATTTTTTTAAAGCAAACCCTCAGCAAGAACGGTTAATGCAAATATCTATTATTATTTCTTATTATTTGATTCCATCTTCATTCGTTCAAAGAATTTTTAATCGCGAAAACATAATTTCCAAACAAAGAATTTCAAGCATTGAGAAATTCAGTTTTATAATATATGAGATAACTAAAAGTTTTCGATGATCTCTTCTATTATAGTCCATGGCAAGCCCTTTGGTAAGAGGGATTAGCTATAACTAGGAGTTTTTTATTTGAGTTGTGGGGTAAGCACCTATCATATTTGTTGCCAAGTAAACATCTATCATATTTATGCTATTATCTTTAAAAAAAAAAAAAATTGTGGGTTAATTGCGGGGTGGACACCTATCATATTTGTCTAATTATTTTGGCCCATTGTCAGTGTTCTATGGTCTTAATGGTAATTTTTAAAAAATATTATCGGGCATAAAAAAAAGAAAAATGTTATCCTTATAAAGACTCATACAAAGAGGGATACAAAGTGACATCATCCAGAAGAAAAAACAAAAAAAAAAAGGAGAAAGAGAGAGAGAGAGAGAGAGAGAGAGAAATCATGAAAATTAAGAGTGAAAATTATCTTTATATACCTCCTTTATATGTGTCTTTATAAAACTAGCATTACAAAAAAAAAAAAAAAAAATGTTGGTGAAGTTTAAATAAAAGCACTAGAATCCTTATTCTCCCGGTGAAGAGCACTTCCAATACTTTTGGTATTGGATCCAGCTCAGGTTGTTATAGGATAAGGCCCAAGCATAATCTTGTGCAATACTGGATTCTCAGCAGAAAGCAACTCAACAAAGCCCAAACCTACGAAAGAACTTGGTCAGAACATTGAAAATGTACAGTTTAGACTGTAGGAAAAACTCCAAATAAATTGAAATTGTTGAAGAGTTGAGAGGTGGGTAGAATGCATCGAATGTGCAGGGCTCTGTGGCACTGTTAAATAGATGCTTGAAGGATGAAGAGATGTCAAATAGAGATGGATTAAATTCAGGTAAAGATGAGAGTACTAGTGAACAATGAACCTGAAATCAGTGGCGCATCCAGAAATTCCTATTAGGGTAGGCCAAAATAAAAATTAATTATACATTAATATTTTTATCCATTAATATTTTTGTTACGGTGGACCAAAATACATAAATTATACATATTAATATTTAAAAAAAAAATTTGAGGGTGGGCCGGCTGGATCCGCCCCTGCCTGAAATGATTCGCTGGTTCAGTGGTTCTTTCTCAAATGGGCCAAAGATTGAACCAAACAATTTAGGCTAATTAAATCCATAGATGTGTTCACTCTAACGAGTTCCTATTCTTGGAATTTGCTGAACAACTAAGGCAAAAGGATGGCTATATATTGTACTGGTTTTGATTCTAGATTTCAATTTTACTCTTGCATGTAAGAGTTTATAAGAATTTGTAAAATTGTAAGTTATTAAAAATTTGGACCCCTTTGGTTCACTATTTTTACTCTATCATATTCCATTATCCTATCCAAATATACATTTGTTTCAATATTCAAAATTCTCTTCAAAATATTATTTTATTCAACTCAAATTATTTAAATTACTTTTAACCCCTAGGTTTGTTAATTTAATTAAACACCCTCAACAATAAAAGTTTATAAATTGACAAAAGCATTTCTATCCATTCACATTTATCAAATTCCAATCACCACTGTCAAAAGGTGGTCGAAATCTACCGTAATGACGCACTACCAGCTGGATATGGCTGGTAGTGCGCTGATCTGACCGAAAAATGTTAGATCTACAGTCGCCAAATCTGGCTGTTAACGGCCAAATCTTTTGGCCGCTGATGACAGCCAAAAGATCTGACCAGATCTGGCTTTTTCCGGTCAGACCGGCCATATCCAGTAGGTAGTGCGTTATTACAGCAGATTCTGGCCACCTTCCGATGGTGATGGTCAGAATCTGGCATATGTGAGTGGGTGGGGTATTTTTATCAATTTATAAACTTTTATTGTTGGGGGTGTTTGATTAAATTAACAAATCTAGGTGATTAACAATAATCTAAATATTTTCATAAAATACTATTAAAAAATGTACAAAAAACTTGTCTGAATACTACTCAACTCAACTTTTTCCAAAATACTATTTTAAAAACTCCTTAAATAGGGAACCAAACAGAAAAATTTTCGAGTCATCGGCATCCTAAGGACTGGTCTCAATATCCTCATGTAGCTGAGTCTACACCTTTTCTTCCCATAAATTTCCTTATGCTACAGTGCTTTTGAATAAGTTAAGAGCAACAGACAATGAAAATCTGAGGTTGGTGGTGAACGAAATAGAGACAACAACAGGAGCAAAATAATAATAGTAAAACAAAACAAACAGTAAACAAAGAAAATTATACGTGCGATTTACCCTGGTTCACCCAATGTGGGCTACGTCCAGCTGAGTCAATATTATTGCAATATGCCTCACCTCTCTCGTTTACAATGAATAAATTGTTCTCTCTCTCATAACAAGAGAAAAGTATGTTTATATACTAGGTTTAAGAGATTAAACCTAGTTTTATAAGGATTCCTATTCCTAAGCCCAACCCAAAAATGAACTAATAACTTAAAAAAAAATCCTACAGCGGTTATACATGAAAAAGCCCAAAACCATCTACGGGCAACAGAATCTCCAAGTGCGTCTCCGTTACCCTTTAATACTGAAG